TATACTGTATATGGGCAGGCACACCCAATGAACATGACATGACTTACAGCCTAATATAATATTTGTTTGTGTCATCATACTCAGTACGCTTAAGTATTACATTACATAACATAGAAAGGAGAAAAGTGTGGTGGTGTGAGGAGGACCCTTGGAGGGAGAAACTGACCGTACAGACCCCCACAAGGGTCGCCTCTCGCCCAGTGCTTGTCACCCACTCCAGACTCGTTATTCATTCATGATACAATGTTTTTGTTTTTTATAATTTGGCACCAATACCTGTACCCTTCATATACAGGCCATCCTGTAGTATCATATCACCATTTGGCCTGCCTGTATCACAAACACAAGACGACAGAATCTGCTAATCGAGTCCTCTGGTTACGTACGTCCAACTTGCGAGGTCTCATAATTTCTTCCTGGGGTGGGGATTTGCCCACCCAGGCACATTAGACAATACAGTATACTTCCAATATCTTCTTTGGTGGTAGTAACCTCCTTTTGATAGCTGCCTACTACATTCACCTGATGACTAATTTTTTTATTTTCATTTACTGTACGGTATTTTGTTATTTCTTCTTTTCTCTTAGAGTAAGTGATTTTAGATGTATATAAAGACTTAAGCTATGATATAGTGGGATATATAAATAATTCTTTAAGTACAGTATGGACATAGGGTATGTGTTTGACTTAAATTACCAAGAAGCTTACTACTATACTGTACTGCATTTTGTTTATTTACAATGTATTGTAAATGTACTGTGTTTGCATAAATGAATACAGCACCAGAAATTTTCAGGGATATGCAATAGTGTCTCCATGCGAGTTGTGCAGTTTAGACTCGGAAAACTTACCCCAATCCGGAAATCTCTCGTTAACAGATGAACTCTGCTCCAATTATTCCGGCTAATGGGGATATCACTAGTCATGTACTGTATCCGTCATACACACGTCCATTACCAGCCAGAACAGTGCCGTAAGAAATGTTCAATTTTAACTTTAAATAACCTGGTATGTGAGAGTGATTTAAAGACACTTAGGAGTTTCCCTTATAGCAGAATGATATAAAATTCATTGAAAATAGGCAATTTTTATTGAAATTATAAGAATGGGTATTAATGACATTTTGCCGGAGTATCTGGGCTGTAGTAATCAGTTTACTCGTCCTTCTTTTTTACAAGGTGTTCAATATGTACCAAAACTTGAAGTACTCTTTTGGAATCGGTGTTAATTTTTCCAAAAGATGATGATTCTATGTGATTCATTGTGGTAATTACATCCAGGGCAACACAACAGCTTAAGTTATATGTGCGAATTGAAATAAGGCTTAAAATATTAAAATCAGATCATGCAAGAAAAAAACCAGTAATAAATAACAAAACTTTCGTAAAAACCATTTAACAGCTAATAGATAAAACTCAAAGCTTGTGTAGAAGGCCGACTTCCTCTCCCATGCCCATGCTACTCGCGCACCTGGAGAGGTGCGTGTGAATCTCTTAGAGCCGGGCACTCCACCAGGTGGTGTCAAGTGGCCCTCTCCATGAACCCTTACGCCCCGGGCCATGGTGCCGCTGCCCATACCCCCAACGCCAGGTAAAACTGAAAAATAAATTTTTCTAAATTATTTTTAACCTTTATAAATGATAAAACCATAAAAAGATGCAAGTAAGACTATACATTGTCCCTCTATATTCTTTCGTAGCGCCTCAGTGATGAGACAAATAAGTGGATTATTATTTATTTTTATTTTTTTATGATTATTATTATTACAGGTTGTACATCTCTAGTCCGGCAACCTCGGGACCTGACCGGTGCCGAACCATGGAAATTCACCCTTTTCCTGGATAGATAGTGACTTGTGCTTATGGCTGGAAGCACTAGCACCACTTTCTCTGCATCATGGTCTCTTTGAAGACATATTGACGGGTTAAATGTCGTATAGTAGCTTCTCAAATTTCGCGAGTTTTTAATTCTTAACATATTTTATTGGAACACAAAAATAAATAAATAAAAATTTTGCGGCGGACACTTGAATTTCAACAGGTTTGGCTGACCCGCCAACGTGCACAGGCGACGTTCATAATCGTGTAAACCAGCGTGCGTTTCTCTTGTGTAGAAAAAGATTCATTATTGTTTATAACTGAATGTCTTTTATTCAATTAATGTTTGTGTGCAAAATGAGCAATACAATTCATTAATAATACGTAGAATATTAAAACACACGAGGAAATGAGACAGCATTGTTTTAGTTGATTACAAAACCAGTGACTGACTGGTTCTACATATAAAACTGAAGAAAATAAGACCTTGGCTGTAGCTGTAGTAAAATTAATATGGTTGTTTTAAGTAATGTTATTTAAGGTTAATAAATGGAACAATAGAAGTAGCTAACGAATGGTAAAGAAAAAAAAGAGAGATCGCGTATGTAAGTCTTATCACCTGCGAAAACATATCGTCATTACTTTACATAAGAATAAAGCAACACTTATTTACTGTTCATATATATTTGAATTAATTTTTCTGAATTTGTTTTATTGAATTAATGTTTGTGTGTGCAAAATTAACAATCATTACAATTTATTAATAATACGTGGAATATTAGAGGCGAAGATGGCTGCGGCATTGTTTATGTTAAAGCTACAAAACCATTGACTGATTGGTTTTACATATAAAACTGAAAGAAAATAAGACCCTGATTTTAGCTGTAGTAAAATTAATGTAAAAAAATTAATATGGTTGTTTGAGTAGTGTTATTTAATGTTAATAAATGGAACAATATAAGTAGCTAAGCATTAATGGTAAAAAAAAGTGAGACTGCGCGTATGTAAGTGTCGCACATGTGAAACATATCATTACTCTACATAAGAATATGAAAGCAACACTTATTTACTGCTCATATATATTGAAGGGTTAAATGTTGTACTCTGTATAGACAAGCAGGAGCAGCCGAACTGCCGGATGTAAACAAACCTTAATTTTTTACACAGGTATTAGCCCACCCATAGGTCACTGACCCACATTGGGGCCTGAGGGCAAAATACTCCTGTAATAATAATAATTCAGATAAGTTAAAAAAATGAGCTGCCTATCTACCTATTGGACAAACTAAAATCGCCCGACCACTGAAGTTTCCGACCAGCAGTAATGCTAGAGAGGTACAACCGTATTATTATTAATATATATTTTTTTTTTTTTTTTTTTTTTTTTTAAACATCTCGGCGCTCTGTCACTACGCACTTAGGGTAATCACTTGCCTTTGTGTCTGAGTTGGCCAATAATGCATATATTTACCAATCATAATACTTATTTCCTATAAATAATTCATTTAGAATATTTTATTTGCATTACTCTTCATAATAAGTTCGTTTACACAACTTTCAGTAATATTACTTTGATACAACATGATAAAATACACAAACAATGAAAATAAACAAACAAAAGAAGTTATTTACCAAGAAGCTTCCCTCTGACTGTGTTAGAGGGAGGGAGATAAGAGGGCTATTTTTAGCCCGTCTTTGTGTCCGAAGTGGCCAATAATGCATATATTTACTGATCATAATACTTATCTCCTACAGGTTGACAACCCTTTATCCGAAATTCCGAAAACAGAAAGTTTTTTGGGTGAGCAATTTTTTTTTTTTTTTTAAAATAGGATTACCCAGCATAGATCACTGACCCACATCAGCCTGGGGGGATATAATAATTATTCATAGTAAATAAAATTTTTAATAAAAATACACCAAAATAAAATAATATAACATTAATAGTAATAATAGTAATAAAATCAATAAAAATAACAATAATACAGGAGTACTGTAATAATAAAATAATAATAATAATAATAATAAAGAAATACAAGAATGAAAAAAAGATCAAGTGAGAAACATGACCTAGACCTATGAATAATTATTATTATTATTATTATTATTATATCCTCCAGGGTTGATGTGGGTCAGTGATCTATGCCCGGGTGGACTAATACACATTAAAAAAAAAAAAAATCTGAAAACCGAAAAATTCCGAAATTCCTGTGGCCCCAAGGATTTCGGATAAAGGATTGTCAACCTGTATAAATAATTCATTTAGAATTAATTTTTTTTGCATTATTTTTCATAAAAAGTGCTTGGCGACACAGCAGTCTGTTGCCAGCTCTCTGGCTGTCTTTGTGTTTGGTAGAGCAAGTAAGTAATACATAAAATAATAATAATTCCACAAATAAATACATTTATAACATAATCATAGCATTATTTTCCAGTAATACTACACTACAATACAACTACACTGCTTTAAGCAATATTACTTTGATACAACATGATAAAATGGACAAACAGTGAAACAAACAAAAGAAGGTAATTCCGTTCAGGAAGCTTCCCTGTGGCCGAGGTGTGGCGTGACAGGCAAATTGTATGATACGGGAACCTAATAACCACGTTGGGCATTTAAACAGTAGCGGGAAAAGGCGCGAGTGCTGGAACGTCACCCGGGGCGAGCCGGTCAGACGTTCCGGAACGTCACCTGGGGCCTAAGGGTTAAAAAACCACCATGTGTCGGCCAAAGCAATTTCCCAGCATACAAGATGGAGAAAACTGCATCATTGTATATAGTATCTATTCTAGAGTGTTGGTATTACATGTACAATTTTAAAACTAGAACAAGACTTTTTTGCATCCATTGTACTGTACAGTATTTCTGATGTTTGATTTCTGTATTTCATATATTGTAATTTTAATATGTAAGTAAACAAAGATTAATTTTACCCTAAATTAATATACTGTAACATTGTATGGGTGCTGTGATCTGTTAATGAGGTTGTGCTGTACTACTCTGGCTGCAATGCATTTTGGTATACACATGTGATAATGCAAACTTCTGTGAAGGAAATGTTTCGAAGCAAACTGCATTAGTACCATATTTAAGAATAAGAATTGAAATCGATTTGGAGAATGATTGCTTCCTAAGTATTGTGCTTCAGAGTAATTTTTTATTTTTTTTTCTCCCATCAGAGTCTGAGGAGTCAGTTGAGGAGGAGGAAGATTAAGCCATTATGCCTACAGAACTCAGGACTTCGGGTAAGTTCCAAAATTATTGTCTGTAAAACCTAAATGGCAATATGGCATCATTATTTATTCATGAACAGTATGGAAAAGGTACTACAGCAAAACTTCAACCATCGGACTCAGTTAGGGGGATACAATAATTATGGTTTCTCTGCTTGAATATACCTACAGTACTAATTCCGTATTTTTCACTGCACTCATAGCCCCGGTAATATTAAATTAACACCTGTTTATAAAAATAATGGAGAAACCTGTAACTGCTTGTATTTCTGTAAATTCTCCTTTAACAATGTTGCCATTTGTACATAAATCAAACCCTCTAGACTTGGTAAAAACAATTCTAGAAATTCTAGGGTAAATAAGAGGGCTATTCAAGATACATTTAGGATGCAATTACTTCATATTTATTCAGAAAGAATAAGTAAAAACTGTGCAAATAATTGATTTAGATGCATTAGGATAACAAAAATAGCTGTATCATTCTTATGTATTTTATATTCGTATATTTTGACTTACATGTACAGTACAGGTATTCCCTGATTTACAGAAGGGTTATGTTCATAAAAAACCCATTGTAAATCAGTTTCCGTTTTCCCTTAGACTGGTTTATAAAAGCTGAGGTACTTTCCTATGAAAGGGGGGGGGAGAAAAAATGCTTCGTAAAACAAGTAGCAGATGCAGTTAGTGGGGTATTAAGCTTCAGATATAAGTCACATAATGCCAGGAAAGACCTCAGTAGCTCCATTCCATCCCTTGGGTATGCCAAGTAGCTATCAAGCTCCTTCAGTTGAGTTTGTGGATGAATGTTGCCTCCATAGTGACTGAGTCTTAAGACTCACCGTGAACTGTCCCTCTAATTGGGGTGAAGCAGTGGTGATATCACTTTTCGATTCTAATTGAGGAGTGGCTGAATTTTTCGTACCACTTAACATCTGATGGGGGGGGGGGATAGGCAGTGGTAATTAGTTATTCAAGGGAGTGTCTGGCTGGAAGTACGATGAAAATCAGAGAATTACGAAAATATTCAGAAAAATGCCCGAGGAAAGCTGTTGCCTGTCGCTGTCTGCTTACGTATTTTGATTGCATAATTCATAATATTTATGTAGCTATGCATGAAATGAGTTTTTCTAACCTTCAAATCCCAAAGGCTCAGCCATTTATGGGCTGATTCTAATAAAACAAAAACTAAGTAGTAGAATGGTTGATCATACAGATTTTCTTTACATTCGGCTTGGTTTATTATACGCTGATTTATCTTCATGAATATTTTGAGGAAAAAATTAAGTAAGGAAAAAAGTTCATGCACCCAAAAACAAAGGCGATATTCAGAAATATCTGTTTTGTTCAAGAGGAGTAAGTTACCTATACTCCACATGAATTTCAATGTAATTTATTGAGAAGTTATCGAGAAGTAGGATTTTGAAAGTTGGTAAGAATATAATGGGAAATAGTTATTAGGGATTAGAGAGAACTGATTCAGGGGTATAGCATCATTATCTGGTGTCCTTAATTACTGACAGGAAATTGATATTGAATGATCAATTATGAACGAATTTCATGCTTCAGCTGGACGCTCCCCTTAAGCAGTTTTAAATACACTGTTTCTCTCACATTTGTGTTGATACAGGCGTTATATTTAAGATGGAATTATGTAAAGAAATTTAGAATCACAACCTCTTCGAAATTCATTTTAGGTACAGCTACAGTATATGCAAAGAGCAACGACGTCTAACGTGAAGAATAAGCCCCTGAAAGAAAGGTGGGGGAGAAGAGAGGGGATTTGATGGGGGAGGGAGGGATAAGAGGGTAGACTTGGTGAGGTGGGTGGTCAAAGTGGTAATGAACACAAGATCGTCAAAGGGAAAGTCCGCTGTCATGGCCACTGCCACCTGACCTGATGTCACCTCACGAGACCTCTAAGTATGTGACCACGTGGTCTCCACCGACACCATACCCTTCATGGCTCCACCCATACCATACCCTCCACACCCACAACTCTTTTACTATGGTTAATAATTAATTAATTTAACAAATATATTACTGGTTTGGGGCATGTAATGAGTAACGATTTTTGCTTTTTCAGTTGTATTTGAGTAAAAGTATTAGAAACCATAAGTAAAAGTTGGTACAGTACTAGAGTAAATTTATTTGGTTACTTTGCAACTCTGGTAGTGATGCACTAGCAGATCCTACTGTCCTGTGTGTATGGACATTTTGAGATGTTTTACATTTGCAAAGATTTTATTTTAATTTGGTTTTCTCTCAAGAAGAAATGCTCAAATTATGTAATCACTTCACATTGAACTCGGATACTAAACACACAAAATATTCTATTTGTAATTATACTATACTCTCGTTAATTCCTCAAAAAAGGGTTTCTAGGTCACTCGAATTACCAAAAAAATCCGGTGCTTGAGTTGGTTAGTGCTGGCAACATTGTTTGGGAGAACAGGAACGATCAGCTGTGTACTGCTCTTAAAACGAGACCGGGAATATACAAAGGCACAATAGCTCATCTGGGATTGAGTTTGGGAATTTTGGGGTACTGTTATTTTTCAATAATATTTTATTAACCAGGCACCAAATGAACCTAAATAATATGGCAATTGTGGTGGAATTGCATGCTGTCGTTACAAAGGGATTGCTGACGAGCGGGAGGTGAGGTCTAAACAGCATTCCCTCCCTCCCTCCCTCCCTCCCTCCTCTGCCAGCCCTCACCGCTGCGCACTTAAACGTAGTTTTTATCCTAATACAGTCTCTCCTTGACTTATGACAACCCGGACATACGACGGCCATGGTCGTTTAAAATATTTTCACATTAGGTATTTTCGAGTCCCGACGTTGGTGATCGCGCTGTGTACAGACAAAATTTTCGTTTGTAATTCCCTTTAAAATGGCTGGCAAGCGTAAAAGTGAGTTCTTGTAGTACTGAGAAGAAAAAGATACACCCATTTTAGAATTTCTATGTATTATTTTAGTCTTTTCGACGTATGATCTAGTTGTCGGGACTGAACCCCGTCGTAAATCGAGGAGACTTTATTTATAATTAATAATTTATTCTTATAATTCATTCATTTCAATTTATCTCATAATAGGTATATTCCTATAATAATAATATAGATTATTGTATATTATATGATTTGATTCGATAAATCTGTCATGTTTGTTGATAATATTCACTCGTGAAATATGTATGATAATGTAACTCAATAAATCGATCTAGTTAAACTAAAAAATCGGTACGTTTTCAGAATTAAAAATGCTGTACAGTTTGTCTTTCCAAGATTAGGCCTTAAGTTTGAGAGTTTGACCACCTTACATTCCGTGTGCTGCTGTTACCTTCGCGGCCACACGGTGGGTGAATTAGCTGTTCAGTCTACAACCAGATGCACTTTAATGTAATGGATTGCTTTATAAAGGTTGGCTTGGAAAATTAACATTAGTCATGCACTTATTATTTTTATCATCTATAGGTATTAAACTTTAATTGACATTAGTAGATACAGTATAAGTACTGTACACTACTGTAAAACTAAAATGTGGCAATTTTGCAGTTAGTGCACAGACTGTGACTGGAGAAATTCACTTTGCTTATACATAAATATTTATGGCACTTGATGCAGCTACTGAATTTGGGCATTTTAAAACATACAAGCAGTAGAACAATATATGCTTGTTTTTATTATAAATAACAAGTGTATCAAGTGCCATAAATATTTGTAAACGGGGTAATTGGGTACTCGCAACCCAGTCACACGGCTCATGAACCTAGCCAGCCAAGACGTTATCACCACACCCCAGAGAGACATTGATTGAGTTAGATGCATGACTGGTATTATAGTTAGCCTCTCAACAAGTACAGTAAGTCCTGGTTGAACCTTAATTCTTTGAACGAATCTCCTATATAACGAAAGCAAATTTTTACATCCTATTTGCCAATTAACGAAATAATATCTACTACTATTATGAAAGGTAAGTCGCCCCCACCTTTCTGCTTTTTCAACCATCACCACCACTACCTTATCACCATCTAAATCATACTTTCACCTTCATTCCTCTCTTCCTCCCTCCCGCTCACTGTGTCTCACCAACATTCTGCCTCTCTCTCATTCTACTATGACTCATTCAAGATAGTACAATATTGTACAGTGCAGTACTGTACATTGCTTATTTGTTATTTTCACTCCATAATTTAACATTTATGTAACATAATATTGAAGGAATATGATGTTCATTTATACTTACACTCAATTTTGTGGGTATACATCAGCTGTTCAGTTGTCTGGCAGTGCTGCAGCCAGTGTTACCAAAGAAACAGATTGATGGATCATCATCTCACCACCTACCACCAGCTCCTTGATCATCACCATCACAACCTCTATTATCACCACCTAAATCATAATTTCAATGATGCAGAGATGAATTTGCTTTAGCCCGAGCAGATTAGCATGACATCCACTGCCTCCCACCCACTTTCCTCCCTCCCTCCCTCCCTCCCTCCCTCCCTCCCTCCCACCACTCTGCCTTTCTCACTTATTGTACTATGACTGTCATTCGTGATACAATATTGTACAAAAGAAACTTGCCAAACCAGTAAATAAAAGCCAAATGAAAGTTAAACATGGTCATCATTTGCATACATTCCCTGCTTCACCAAAGTAACAGGCCAACAGGGTGCTACCTTCGTGTGCCCCCCCCCACACACACACACACACACACACACACACACACACACACTGAGCCCTCCTCCCATCACTCACTGAGCCAGCTAACTCGTGTGCAAAGAAATGTATATTCCCTTTGTTTTTGACCTGAGGACAATTATATCTTTTACTTTTTTCACTGTATGTAGGATAGTGTGTGCATGTAACCGAGTAAAAATAAATGAAGAAACATATATCTACCTGAAAATACAAGTTGAAGACAGCCATAATGCTTCGCACCTTGGCCCAGTCGCCTGGTGGCTACAGTGATGAGTCTAACCCGGCTACAATACCATGATAATCATTATT